AGATATATAAGTCGTCCAACCAATCTTTGATATTGCTCTTTACTCACAGGGTCCCCACCCTCGGCACTCATCTTATGATTCTGCTCAATAGGAGTAGATGCAACTCTGCACCCTAACATCGCTGTCTCTGAGAGAAGATCCAGAGCATACTTCCGCTGAGAAAGCACTATACCCTTTCGCGACCTTGCAATTTTAATTCCGAGAAAGTACTTCAACTGCCCCAGATCTTTAACTTCAAATTCCTCTCCCAATTTCTTCTTCAACAGTAGGATTTCCTCAGCGTCATCTCCAGTGATTACAATATCATCAACATAGACCGCCAGGATAGTGATACGAGTTTTGGAGTGCCTGTAAAACACAGTATGATCACCATTGCACTGCCTGTACCCCATACCACAAACTGCCAACCTGAATCTATCAAACCATGCCCTCGGAGACTGTTTTAACCCATACAAAGACTTCTTCAACTTGCACACCTTCCCAGCTACTTGAGAAGTAGTGAAGCCTGGTGGAATCTCCATATATACCTCCTCTTGAAGATCTCCATGCAAAAAGGCATTCTTGACATCTAGCTGATGTAGTGGCCAATTAAAGTTGGCAGCACATGACACCAACACTCTAACAGTACTCATCTTTGCTACTGGAGCAAATGTCTCGTCATAGTCAATGCCGTATGTTTGGCTGTAGCCTTTAGCAACCAATCTGGCTTTGTATCTGTCGATCTTGCCCTCTGGAGTTTGCTTAACCGTATACACCCACTTACATCCAACAGCACGCTTCCCAGCTGGCAAAGGTACCAACTCCCATGTGTCATTCTTCTTCAAGGCCTGGAGTTCCTCGTGCATGGCATTCAACCACCTAGGATCTTGCTTAGCTACCTGCCAGTTGTTAGGTACAGGCACTGAATGCAACGATGCAATGAATGACTTATATGCAGGTGGAATGGATGCATATGAAATGTAATTCGCAATATCAGTATCCCAATTACCAAACTTAGCTGGAGGTTTTCCAGCATTGACTCTAGAGGTTCTGCGGGGCAAGACAGGAGTATCAGAGGTATCAGGGAAGGAATCGTTACCTATCGACTCAGGTGGAGGAGAAGAGCAAGGCACTGGAGAGGAGGGACTTGGGTCATCAACATTTGTGGGTACTGACACAGGCACGGGAGGCGGCTCATGCTGCTGTTTCTGTCTCCTCGTGTATACTCTCAGCTCCCCCTGACTTTGACTACCAACTCCTAAGTCACCACCACTACTCGGCGATGTACCATCACTACTCGGTGACTCAAGAGGACATGGAATCATCCCGACCACAATATCATTCTCATTCTCATTCTCATTCTCCCCCTCTCTACTAGCATCAGTAGAGCCATCTCCAAACAAGGAACTCAACTCTTCTAAACAAGCGCAGCTCAGATAATATGTTTTTTACCCACATCAACTCGCACAGACTAACTGCCATAGCCCTGTACTCGGCCTCAGCTGTAGACCTAGCCACCACATCTTGCTTCTTGCTGCGCCAAGATATGAGATTACCTCCAACAAATACACAGTAGCCTGATATGTTTTTTACCCACATCAACTCGCACAGACTAACTGCCATAGCTCTGTACTCGGCCTCAGCTGTAGACCTAGCCACCACATCTTGCTTCTTGCTACGCCAAGATACGAGATTGCCTCCAACAAATACACAGTAGCCTGTAGTGGACCTATGATCATCCATACAACCCGCCCAATCAGCATCACAATAGCCTTCAATTCTCAGATGTCCAAAACTCCTGAACCATAACCCCTTTCCTGGGCTTCCTTTAATATATCTAAGAATTCTGCGAACTGCCTTCATATGCTGCTCTCTGGGATCATGCATATATCTACTCACCACACTCACTGCATGAGTAATATCAGGTCTCGTATGGCATAGATATATAAGTCGTCCAACCAATCTTTGATATTGCTCTTTACTCACAGGGTCCCCACCCTCGGCACTCATCTTCTGATTCTGCTCAATAGGAGTAGGTGCAACTCTGCACCCCAACATCCCTGTCTCTGAGAGAAGATCTAGAGCATACTTCCGCTGGGAAAGTACTATACCCTTTCGCGACCTTGCAATTTCAATTCCGAGAAAGTACTTCAACTGCCCCAGATCTTTAACTTCAAATTCCTCTCCCAATTTCTTCTTCAACAGTAGGATTTCCTCAGCGTCATCTCCAGTGATTACAATATCATCAACATAGACTGCCAGGATAGTGATACGAGTTTTGGAGTGCCTGTAAAACACAGTATGATCACCATTGCACTGCTTGTACCACATACCACAAACTGCCAACCTGAATCTATCAAACCATGCCCTCGGAGACTGTTTTAACCCATACAAAGACTTCTTCAACTTGCACACCTTCCCAGCTACTTGAGAAGTAGTGAAGCCTGGTGGAATCTCCATATATACCTCCTCTTGAAGATCTCCATGCAAAAAGGCATTCTTGACATCTAGCTGATGTAGTGGCCAATTAAAGTTGGCAGCACATGACACCAACACTCTAACAGTACTCATCTTTGCTACTGGAGCAAATGTCTCGTCATAGTCAATGCCGTATGTTTGGTTGTAGCCTTTAGCAACTAATCTGGCCTTGTATCTGTCGATCTTGCCCTCTGGAGTTTGCTTAACCGTATACACTCACTTACATCCGACAGCACGCTTCCCAGCTGGCAAAGGTACCAACTCCCATGTGTCATTCTTCTTCAAGGCCTGGAGTTCCTCGTGTATGGCATTCAACCACCTAGGATCTTGCTTAGCGACCTGCCAGTTGTTAGGTACAGGCACTGAATGCAATGATGCAATGAATGACTTATATGCAGGTGGAATGGATGCATATGAAATGTAATTTGCAATGTCAGTATCCCAACTACCAAACTTAGCTGGAGATTTTCCAACATTAACTCTGGGGGTTCTGCGGGGCAAGACGAGAGTATTAGAAGTATCAGGGAAGAACTCGTTACCTATCGACTCAGGTGGAGAAGTCACTGGAGAGGAGGGACTTGGGACATCAACATTTGTGGGCACTGACATAGGCACAGGAGGCGGCTCATGCTGTTGTTTCTGTCTCCTCGTGTATACTCTCAGCTCCCCCTGACCTTGACTGTCACCTCCTGAGTCGCCACCATTACTCGGCGATGTACCATCACTGCTCGGTAACTCAAGAGGACATGGAATCAACCCAACCACGACATCATTCTCATTTTCATTCTCATTCCCCCCCTCTCTACTAGCATCAGTAGAGTCATCTCCAAACAAGGAACTCAACTCCGTCTTCTCCCCATAAAAAGGTTCAAACTCCCGAAAAATCACATCCATACTGACAAACAACCTTCTTTCAGTGGGACACCAACACTTATATCCTTTTTGGCTTGATGAGTAGCCAACAAAAATACATTTAACTGCTTGCGGATCCAGTTTACTCACCATCATTCTGTGATCTCTCACATAACATGTGCATCCAAATACTCTTGGTGGAACAACAAAAACATTCGAGCCCAAGAGCATCTCACATGGTGTCTTCATCCCTAACACTCTTGATGGCATCCTGTTGATCAAATAAGCTGATGTCATGACAGCCTCACTCCATAAAAACTTAGGCACATTCATTGTCAACATCAATGAGCGGGCCACTTCCAGTAGATGTCTGTTCTTACGTTCAGCTACCCCATTCTGAGCAGGGGTGTCTGGACAGGTGGTTTGATGAATGATTCCCTGACTAGAGATGAAAGCGGCAAACTCCTTGTTGACATACTCAGTCCCATTATCTGTTTGGAGAATCTTCACCTGCACTCCAAACTGTGTCTTCACATAGGCCGAGAAGTCTTGAAAATATTTGTAAACCTCAGATTTCTGTTTCATCATGTATATCCAGACCATACGTGAATAGCAATCAATGAAAG